CTCTCTCTCTCTCTCTCTCTCTCTCTCTCTCTCTCTCTCTCTCTCTCTCTCTCAGATACACACACACACACACACACACACACTCTCTCTCTCCCCACAGCATAAAGGCAGTAAGACAGAAAATAAACCAAAACCATGAGTAGAGATGGAAGGCAATCCAATTCAGACCACCACCTTCCAACCCTGTGCTGACTCACAGCACCTGTTCTGTAAACCATCTCGTAGGACACTAGAGGAGTCCCTGGAGACCATGAGGGTTCCCTTGGAATCATGTTCCTACATACTTTACAAGGGACTCCATGACTCCTAGCTGTAATGCAGGCCACCCTCCCCTACTCAAGAGCAGCACCTAATCCAGGTAGGTGACATCTAGCCTCTGCTTTGAATCACTCTGAGACCGGATTCACAAACCTTTTGTTAAACAGTTTGAGATTTTATTTTTTTATTTTTTATTTTTAGATAGGGTTTCACGCAGCACAAATTGGTCTCTCTCTCTAATGACTGGTCTTCTTCCTTCCCTCTCCAAAGTGCTTAGCTTACCAGCATTCACCAACACACCTTGTTTATTGAACATTTTAAACCGTTATTACTACATTGTTGCTGTTTAATATTGAGCTGAGATTGATCTCCATATAATGGCCACCGAATTGTACACTCCTCTCTGGCACCATCCTGGATAGCAAAAGTCTTTTCTAAATGCTGGAGCCTCATCATACAGGTCTAGGAAAGAAACAGTCTGTGTATTATAGTTCCTGTTGGGGAAAACCATGCTTTTCTCTCCTTTACTCTGTAAATGGTAAGCTGTGAACCAGTCTGAGTGCATCTGTGGCTGCTTCTGAACAAGATGCGTGCACACACACACACACACACTTGCCCTGAGCATCTGAAATAAAGCCACCAAAAAAGCACTGCTCACAATTAACCATTTGGCTTTGTTCCGGCTTGTTTGTAAGAAGCCCTTGGAAGCTGGAAACAGAATCCCCTTTCAAGCAGCCATTTGATTTGCTCAATAAAACCTCATTCGATTGCTCGGGCTGCTTATGAGCCCTAAATCAGATGTGTTTCTGCAGAGAGAAAAACAATCATTTTTCCAATAGGCCTTCCTTGCTCGTACACTCAAAAGGGTGCATTCAAAAGCCTGCAGATAATATAACATGATTCTCTTGCTCATTGACATCTTTGACAAACATCGCCATTATGATTTCAGTAGCCGAGGAGTAACATGAATTTTTTTTTAAGCAATGCTTTTGAGAGCTACGATTATAAATATCAGCTAACCGCTTCTGTTAACAAGAGCGTTCCTGTTCCTGTTTCTATTTTTCAGGATGAATAAATATAAACCAGTTCCCAAGCTCTCTAGCCAGTCTCCTGTCCATCACGCCAACTCGAGGACCCCACCTTCGGGCAGACCCTTTAAGAAAGAAGACTTAAACCTGATTTCAAAAGACTCCCTGGAATCAGATTCAGAAAGCCTCCCTCAAGAGGCTAAGTCCTGGTCTGATATTAAGGACCAAATCCAGGACAAAGATATGGAGCCTGACAGCTTGGAAGAGGACAGCCCAAGCGAGACAGAAGAGGCGGTGAACAGAAAAGCAGCCCACAGCACTAACAGGGAAGACCTAGGAGCTCGTGATGCTGGTGTGAATCACAGGTAAGGAACTGGCTTGTGAAAGGCAGTAATGTCGAGTAATTCCTGGTACCGAACCAGGCAAGAAAGGATGGACTGTCCTAAGGTGCACTGTGCAAAAACAGGTCTCCAAGCAACCAAGGGCAGTGTGGCTCCCCGACTCGCCACATTTTCTTCTTATTCCTCCCCCTCCTCTTCCTCCTGATTTCTAATTTACCAATGCAGTCATTATTGACTGGGTATAGGAGCGTCAAGAACATGCCTTAAGGACCAGGAAACACTTCAGTAGGTCATCAGGTAGAACCACCTGTCTTAGTCTTCTTGTTGCTGTGTCAACAAGACAGAGGTGGGGGCAATGTACTTATTCCCATGGTTCAGAAGGTACAGTCTGCCACGGTGCAGGAGACATGGAAACTGAAGGGACTTGGCCTGTGCTGGAGGGAGCTCAAACCAGCTTCATGTGTAGCACAAACAGGAAGTCAAGTCCGATGGACCCGGAAGTGGTCTACTTTGCAAAGATCTGCTTCTCCTCACTAGACCACATTTGCAAAGGCTCTCAAAACAGAACCACAAGCCAACCGGGGGGCTGGTGGGGGGGGCACATTTCACATCTTAAAGAACTTGTCCAGAGAGTCACGGTGAGGTCTCGAGGAGTCAAAATTAGCCCCCAGTCCGAGGTCTCTTCCTACTTCCTCTCCTTCATTTCACTGGAGATATCAAAGTAAATGAACCTTGCCTTCACATCGGGGAGTCTCAAAAATTCAGTTAAAATGATAAAATGCTGTCTTTGGAAGGCTGAAGGCAGAGAAGAGTTTAAGACGGCTTTAGCTAAACAGACTGGTTGAGTCTACTCAGGGCACCCTTAAATTAGAGAGTGAATATTACCAACTACGGACAAAGAACAGCTGGCTAGCAATGATTATTACAACAATATCAATACTGTGGGCATTTTTTTTAATAGTTTATTTTTTCTCAAATCGTAATTCATTCACACAGGGGTTATAAACACAGAAAGGCAGGATGTGGGGAAGGGAATGGGACTGGAGCCTGGGTGTTCAGGGGGAATACAGATATCTTCAGAACCGGGTATCGGCTGGGTGAAGGTTCAGGGGACAAGTCACTATGACTCTGCCTATGACTCGCTTGTCCTTATCTAAGTTGGTATTGTCTGCCAAGGCTACCTATTTACAAGGTCTATGACTACTCAGGCTGGTAAATTTCCACAAAAGCTGCCTGTTTATAATAGCTTAAAGCCATCTGTTTCAATGTTTTTCCACTGAGACCCAAGACTTGGTGTTAGTATACATGTATGACAGGCCTATTGCTGATTTTAGGCCTATGGCTGATTTTAGGCCTTCGGTGTGTAAGCAGGGCTGCCCCTGACATCTCCTCCCTTCTCTAAGTATAGAAGGGCTGTGGCAATTCTAAACTTTCGAAGGTGGGGATAGAGGCCTGACCTCCAGTATTTGAAGGGGACCTTGTAATGGCTCCAGTCCTCCTGTCGTTGTCCAGTGAGGCATGAGGGCCATACCCGTACTGTGGACATTTTTAAAGTCCCCTTTTTTCTTTTTCTCTGTTCTTCATTGTAATTCTACAGGGAACAGGTTGTGGCTCCTACGTTAAAGTTGGTGGGAACGAGGCTAACAGAGAAGAAATCACTTGTCAATGGTCATAGTAGGCTTGAAGGCATGTTGTCCTTTTGTTGTTAATGTCTTGCTTTATTGTTTTTTGTTTTGTATTCTGGTACTGTGGATCAAACTCAGAGCCTTGGGCATACTAGGCAAAGCACTCTGCCACTGAGCCAGATACACACCTATAAGCTTTTTAACTTTGAAAAAACCAGAAGTGTCTATCCTATAAGAAAAATAGAAGGGAATAATGACACAAATCATTTATATTGGGTTATTTTAAAGACACAGTCATAAATATCATTTAACCATTTCCTTGTTGGGGGTAAGGGATGGCCCAATGGTTAAGAGTCTGTACTGCTCTTTTCAGAGGACCTAAATTTGGTTCCCTGCAGCCACAACAGACAGCACACAGATGCCTGTAACTCTAGCTCCAAGGCAACTGACACCTCTGGCCTCTGCAGGCTGCATTCAACACCTATACAGAGATACACAGAGATACACATGATTAAAAAGAAAAAAAAACTCCTTGCATCCTATTCATACCATTTCTCCATCTTCCTCCTCAAAAATGATGGAAATATACCGCTGTGGGCATACACCCTTTTTTTTATCATTCTTCTACTTGTTCGTGGGTGCCTATAATCGCGACGGCGTACACATATACTCATACAACATCCCTGTTTTGTTCAGCCAATGTTAACGTTTTTGGCATTTTTTTCCTGTTATGTCTTTGCTTATCTTACAAATAAGTTCCACCGCATGGAAGGGCAGCTTACCCGCTTCCTACTGTACCTTTACTTCTCTCAGTGCTGTGATCAAACAAGAGGCACCCTAGGGAAGGAAGGCTGTATTCTGGCTCACAGTTCCAAGGACGTAGTCTATCATAGCAGAACGGTCACCGCAGCAGGAGCTTGCGCCTTGTGGTCTACAGCTTTGTGGTCAGGAAGCAGGAAGGGGTGGGACTACTGCTCAGCTCGCTCTCCTGATTGGTCCAGCAGGTAGGGCGGGACCTCACGTCACGGGTATGCCCAGAGGCATGTATGTCTCCAACTTGATTCTAGTTCCAGTTAAGCTGACAAGCGGCCTCAACTGTCCTATCTACTGATGACTGTATTTAGGGCTTGCTCCAGTTCTAATTTCTCACAAGTGTCTGTGTGCATCCTTCTGAGGCTGTTGGAGATGTGAGTTCCGTTAGGGTATATGGATGCAGGAAGTACCGAATCTTAGGAGGAGGAACATGTGTCCAGTGCCTGCAGCTTTGCAGACCTTACGATTGCCAAGACACTTTAAACTTCTGAGAGGTCAATAACATTCCACTTTTGGTCGATTTTAACCGCTTCGTCCCTCGTGACTTGTATGGTTTTAGCCGAAAGAGATCAATTTAGACATACTCTTCAATGACTGATTAACTTCCATTTAACAAAATAGTTTTTTGTACTTGTGATTATGGACTTGCCTCATGTTACACAGTATTCCAGTGCCTGGAAGTGTTACCACATGATTATCTAAGACCCTGGGTAGACACTAGTGTCCTGGTTGACTACTTTTTTCTTTTTACAGTGTTTTAACTGAAATATATAATGTGCACTCATATATACATATTATATTATTATATTATTATATATTATAATAATATAATAATATAATGTAATATTATAATATTATATTATTGTATATATTATATATATTATGTATGTATGTATGTATATATATACACATACATACATACATATTATGTATAGGAAAGAATTGACAGAGCTTGGTGACAGATTAGCTACAGAGGTTGAAGAACAAAGGGAACTAATGAAGGGTAATAACAGTTAACCATGTATAGAACTTCTCTTGTGAGTCCATAATTGTCCTATATACTTTATATATGGCAGTTCTGGGAGGCAGATACTATAGTCGGCCCATCCTGAAGATTTCCAGGGGGGCTTCATGAAGTTGCCTCAATGCCTACCTGTATCTAGTGGGTACCAGAGCAGACCATTCGTGCGGTCTGACTTGATGCTCTATGTTTTTATCCTAGCCCTGAGTGGGAGATCTGCTCTCTTCAAGATAGGAAGTGGTAACAGCTTTGTGTATAGAAATGAGGGTACCATAAAGGAAGTCTTTTTTTAAGTTTTTTTTTATAATTTAAAGGAAGTCTTTTTGGTTTTTTTTTTCATTTTTATGTATATGAGTGTTTCGCCTGCATGTTTATATGTATACCATGTGTGCAGTGCCCACAGAGGCCAGAAGAGGATGTCAGATCCCCTGGAACTAGACTTAGAGACTATTGTAAGCTACCATGTGGCTACTGGGACTCTAACCTGGGTCCTGTGCAAGAGCAGCCAGTGCTCTTAACCCCTGAGTCGTCTCTCCAGCCCCCAAAGTCTTCTGCATTGTACAAAGTTTTCTTGTCTGACTTTGAAGAGGAAGAAACCAAAGCAAGACTCCACCTGATCCCCCCAGTTGTTTGTTGTTTCTTCTTTTGATACCATGCTTAGCAGGCCCAAGATTTTAACCTTGTTCTAACGGCCAACGGGATCATTTGATCATGACACAATCCATCTCAAGGGATCGCACTTCCAAAAGTCAAAATTATCACTAGGTTCTTCATCTTCTGGTTCAGAAGCCCTTGAATAATTCTGTTTCCCTCCGATTGCCTTACCATGGTAATGTTTAATAGAAGACTATAAACTGCAGGGCAGGGTTAGAATGGTGAAGGGTTAGAATGGACTGCATTCTACAAGGTACTTGTTAGAATATAGTACCCACTTCACTGGGTGTAAAAGGGCCAGTTTCTCACCACAAAGAAAAACCAAACTGAAAGACTCATCCAAATAATGTCTCAAAAATGTGATTTGAGAATGGTTGGATATTGATCCTTTCTCTGCCTCGTGTTGGTCACACAGTCCTTTCCTAGGTGTTCTGTCCCTCAAATCTAAGTAGTTATGAGCCATGATACAAATAAATTGATCTCAGGCTCTCAACATAAAATCGAAGTAGGCTTTCATTTCCCAAAGGTAGATGGCATTCTGGGGATTGTAGTTCAAAAGAAAAAAATTAGTTCAAACCTTGGCCTTAAACCAAGACAAACCTTTCTTCTCGCTTTTATAAGCAATAGTTTTAAAAGCTGCCTGACAAATCACTTAGCCTCACGCTCGTGTTTTGATGTTACTAGAACCCCCAGAAGTCAAAGCCACAGTTCAGTGTCTATGGATTAGAGAAAACCCTTTACTTAATGGAAATTGGAGCAGCGTTGACGGTGGTGAATGAATCAGGAGTGGAGAGAGGGTCGTCATGTGATAAGTCTTTAAGCCCCACTCCAGAACGAGCCTTGTGACACTCAACACTCACAGAAAAGCAGATCAATGTGATGTCCAGGGTGTCAGAAATAATGTCTTCGGT